GAGTCGGCTTAAAATTTTTTGAAAAACGTTATTGAATTTTTCTGTCATAACATTCCCAGTAATTGACCGGAGTCAGGAATTAGCGGCGTTTCAACCTCCGTCTCGGAAAGCAGGTAAAGCTGTTGGTCCCTGTCGCGCTTGATCACTCACTTCGGTCAGGCCTCTGTCACTCTTACTATCTGCGGGAAATAGTTACCTACAATTGCGAGACGCCCCCGGGATAGAACGCAGTCGGGGCGCGTTCTAGGCGATTGAATGTTAAAGTTTTTTAACGCTATTTACGTAAATAGTCTTGTGTAAATACTTGTTGAAATACTCGTCGAAATAGTTTTTGTTTAGTATTTAGTATATTTAATTTTGGAATAAAATAGTTGCAAAAGTTTTAAAGTAATACAAGAACAATATGTTATAGGCAAAACGTCATTCCTACAATAATTGTTGCGTGGATGAATTTGTAATGAGCAAACAAAAGGATTCAGATATATCATGTTTTAAGTTACCGAAGGATAATGAAAGGTGAATTTATTTAATTTTTTTGTTAGGTGGGTACTTATAGAAAAAGAATAAGTAATAATTTAACTACAGAAGTAATACCTAAGTACTTTATTACAAAACTTAATTTAAATTTACTTCACTATCCAACACTTACATACCCAAACTTGTCTTTTGTAATTAAAATATTTTAAGTTATAATAACACAAAATACTGAAATTAAGACATTATTTACAAGATTTTTAACTAAGTAGAATACTATTACATTTTTGTTAGGAATCGTATTTCGGTTTTATTTGTTGCTTACACTATCTACCTATTTCTTCCGAATGCGTTGGGCATGCGTTGGACATCACAGAACACACATAGTAGCGGAAATATGAGCGATCTTAGTCAGAATAGGTACTTTACCTATGTAACTTACCATTTTAAAATGTATTTTTTTACTGTTTATTAACATCCCTTACTAACCATGGAAACTCCGTCGTGACATAGGATGGGGAAAAGATGTAATACGGGACACTTGCGCGCCGCAATAAAGTTTTATTTAGCTTGCGTGTGCGATTTGTCTGATTAATAATAATTATGTAGGCTATTAAAACGTCAGTAAGCAGTCAACATCAAAGGAGTACAACTTATGTATGTAATACTATTATTTATTCTGTGCTTCGGTCGTGCCGAATTGCCGCCCCATGCCGGACTATGAGGGTGGCGGAGTAGAGATTGAATCTGTGTTTGCGTACACACTCGTACATTATAATCCTGTCTTATGTATATGGCTAGTCTCCGTTGAGAATGGCCGCCGTGACCGGAATTTGGTCTATAAAACATTATTATTATCTCTGTAATTGCAACATTGCAAATTTTTTATTGCTTTATTTTTCTTTTTGACTCGTTTCCATAAGTTTTGTTAATTTTAAGAACTTACCAATTACCTTTATTATCAATATTAAGTCAAACGTTATTTCACAAAGATAACAGATATCCTGCATATCCTACAAGTTTATTTTTTATATTAGTGTCGATTTAAATAAATGAGTGGAAACGAATTTTGTAATACGTTCTAAAGTAGGTAGTGACATTTTATAAATTCCTGGAATTTATGGTCAAAAGGAAACTCCTAGGAATACTTCTAAGTAGTTTATTTCTACGAAGCGTTTCCACGAAGCCAGTTGTAATCGGAAAAGGGCGTATGCATTTTATAACATAAATAATTTATATAGATATAATTTATAATTGACGACTGGTTTCGGCGCCGGCTATGTAAATATACAACTATGTTTAATAATCTAAATATAGATGTTTTGCATTCAATAGTAAGTGGTAAATGTCCGTCCCACTAATTTAACTACACGTTTATTTTATAGACGATGCTAACTTGTTAATTATTTATCGAAAATAACTACTACATGAGTCTGTTAGAATGAGATCCGCAAGCGTAGCTGGCTGCATTGTCGTTTAACGTGGTTTCTAATGGAATAATTAAAAAAAAAAACTAGAATCATTTTCCTCCATTCTAAAGAAAATAAATTCACCGTTCAATTTCTGATTTCAAAATAAGAAGCTAAATATTTAATTTTCTTTTACAAAAATATTTAAGTGTGCCCCAAATTTTGGTGTAATTATGGGTAATACTTAAAGCATTAGATCTCGAGTACAAACCGTAATTACTATCATTTAAAATGCTCATTTAAAGATATGTTTTTTGCTTGTGTTAAATAATATAATGTACAATTTATCATATCGTCAGCTATGTGGTAGGTTTCCTAGGCTGCCTGGGTTGTCTGCCTTCCTAGGTTGTCTAGGAGTCCGAGTCGGTGCCACTCTTACCTATTCCTCCCCCTAACAGCAGTGCCTGCACTGCTGTGCTCCGGTATGAAGGCTACACCCTTCCGCATCATCCCTTAAGAACCAGTAGAATTACACGCTATGAGGCATTCTATCTTAATCCGTTTTTCGAGTGTATGTATGTAGGTATTGATTTGACGGCTCCGTGGCGCAGTGGCTTAGCAATGAGTTGTTGCGCTGGGGACCGCGGGTTCGAATCCCGCACGAATCAAGTATTTGTATGGCCTACAAATAATTGTTTCGGGTCTGGATGTTTGTCCTCGTACAATTTATGTTTGTAAACTGCCTCCACGATACAGGAGAAAATCCTATTGTGGGGTTAACGTATTTTTTAAAAAACTAAAAAAAAAGTATATCTTTTTCGTTAGCACTCTCTGTAGCCTATACAGCTTGATGGATTTTAACATAATATGGGATGTCGTTCAATTCGTCTTAGTTTTGGAAACGACATATGGTATATAAAAATTACCTTTTCAGTAAACTTTTAAGTAGTCGGGGTTTTATTAGTTACTGTATTAACCAGTGGGCTGGTTGTATGTACCTATGTTACGCGGAAATTTGGAATATATTTTAATATTTTTAGTTTTTTGAAGACAGTTTTAACTTGTAAAGCAAGACGATTAAGTCTAGGCAAATCCTCCCTTCCAACAGGGGGACCCTATTTCCTGTAGTGAACTTTTAACGGGCTGATGAAGAATAAATTGTATAGAAAGTGTCCTAAATCGGATTAAGTAAAGATAAAAATTATTTTTATAATAAAACATTGTTTTAAAACCTGTTACGAGTAAAGGCTGTTAAGTATTTTCATGCGTTTCTACCGCCTCGTCGCATTTTCCTCTGTAAAAGTTATCTAAATTTCGATAAGAATAGAAATCAACAGGGGCAATGTCTGGAGAATAAGATGGATAAAGGAGAGTTTTAAGTTGAAGTTCCCATAATTTTAGTCCATTGTCCAGTTTAAGTGGACGAAAACAACTTGTCCAGTTTAAGTTTTCAGGCTTATGTGGTGTTTTTTGCAATTCTTGAAAATTATTTTGTCAGTCGTCCAGAAGCTGTGATAAATAATACCGGCACAGATTCACAAATGGTCATAAGCACCGTTTCGATTCAGTATAGGTATGTGTAGGGCATTGTTAAGCTGCCACCTCTGATCCCAACTATTGCCACATACGAGTACGTTTCCGATATCATACAAAATTCACTTTTAATTACATATATAATACGTTTCAAAATCGACTTTGTGTGAACATTCAACAAATAAAACCAAGCGTCGACGAATGTTTGTTGTTCTAATTCAGCAAATCTATAGTCTAATTCCGTGTTTAATAGATGCAAATTAATCAATATCGTTGGGGGTCGCTTTAGCTCTGCCGTGATCAGTTTGTGATCAGTAATCACATGTGTTTGATAATATTGCGTAGTCTGTGCACTATTGGGTGTCATTAAAAATTCATCAATGAAAACATCGCGAATTTTACATTTTTCCTTAGACTGAGATATAGCAATATCAGAGATAAAACCAACGGCGGAAAATATTTGAACAAATGGTTTTTAAAAGCATTGTCTTCATCAAGACTTTTATTTCTGTGTAGCTCAGGGGCTAACTCTCGCTTTAAAATTTCACTATACGCTAGTAAACCGTGTTCAATCCTCGCCCGCACAGTTGAAATTGTAAATTGCAATTTTAAATGCGTGAATCGTGATCAACCCTAGGTGATACTTGCATGTTTTCGAAGTATAAAATATTTAAACGACTAATGATCTGAAGTAATTTGTGTTGTATTTAAAATAAAGTCTTCTCATTTTCAAAATCTTTACATGTTGTTAGTGAGTCATGTCTGAGATCACCGTGATGCAAGTTGATGCATGAATTACTTCATACTATTTTAAACTGACCTCATCCCGTGAAGGTATAGTCGATTGTTTCATTAATAGTATTTATATTCAGTAAGAAATTATTGATATTATTTTGAAGTCGGTTAAACAAATACTAGATGACTTTGTTAATACATACTTAGCTGTGATTGTTAAAGGATTCTGCGTATCTGTAATTCTGAATACAAACAGGTAATGGGCGTGTCATGTCCGAAAGGGGCGGTGCCTGAATCGGTGGGTGTAAATATCGCTATTCGAATTTTAAACATGGAAACGCAAAAACAAATAGCGCAGTTCTGAAAAGTTAATAAAATTTCATTAAATTCTCGGAATGTGATACCGAAATATTTGCCTATCATAGGACTCAAAGGCTTTACATGGAGGTGCAGATTTGAGTGCATTGGGTAGTGGATGTTGGTTTCGCCTCCCCTTCCCCCCGGGTTGTCGACGGTGGTGGAACGGTGGCGGGACGATCGGGCCGCGCAAGGAGAGCTTTCGATGGGCGTGCTCGCAGTCGCACTCAGCGGTGCGGAAGCGCACGCCCGCGCTTCAATACGCACACCTCTTGCACTTGGACCGGACACGCCTCTCGGTAGCGGCGTCTACCGGGCCGCCTCTCATGCGTTCAGAGTCTCGTCGACTTCCGGTCTGCTTGCAGTCATTCGCTTGCACCGTTGCAACAATCATCTTATTGCAACGATATAGGGTTACTGTTGTCAATATAACATTTTGTGCGGCTTAGGAGCTTTTACTGTTTTGCATTCGCGAATTTGAGTTTGTTGAACATGGCTGAAAATGTCAAGAGCTCTGAATCCGGCCACTGCAGCGACGCGGAAGAGGCACTCGAGGCAGTGCCTTATTCTAGTAGAAATTTTAGTGGAAATCGAGCCGTATTTTTGCGTACGGCGTATCGGCGTATGTCCAAATATCTGGCACATTCGAGCAACGGCAGCAGCTCAAATGGGGTCTGCAGCAATGAAACCATTAATCTAGATTCTGGTGAGTACGACCGTAATAAAGCCGTGTTTTTATTTTGTACTTATTTCATTTTGTATTACATATCTTCTATTAATTACGCCAGCGCTCATTATAAATTATTAAAAATTTATGTATGTTATGGTGTATATCGTGAGGTTAGTCTATTCTAAAGCGAATATATATTTTCCGAACGAAATTTTTGCATTATGTCTGTCTTCAAATATGTAAATATTATTTATGAATAAGCCGTTGACTCAAATACTACACTGTGAAACTTACAAGCAGCGGCCGTAAATTTATATACGAAAACGTAAAATTAAATTAATTAATAGGAAACTCTAGCGCGTTCGTATAAAGACTAAAGTGTTCTGCAATGCGACCACCCCTGTGCGACATAGATTTTATCTCAGTTGACTAAAAGGGTATCAAGTCATAATCCGTGATTATTCTGACAGTGCATATACGCATTGCCAATTTTTAAAGCGTGTACCAAAGTACACGCCACTTACAATGAAGAAAAAGTGAGAAAGTGAGGTTCACAGTTAGAGTTATTAAAATTCCAACTATGATAAGCGTTACACTAAAACTTAGTATTCTATAAACTGAAAACTTAGAAGCGTTACGAAGCTTTAGCGAAAACATTTATTCATTCATAATAGCCTGTCCACTCCTTACCAAAGGCCTCCAATAGATATTAGGAATATTTGCCATAGTTGTCACACTTGGCAGGCAGGTTGGTAACCACAGATTTTGTCTTTGTCATAAGAAACCGATGCTGCCCGTCTTCTGGTCTCTTTTCCTCTGTCGTCATGACACGCACGGGACGATTTGAGGGATATTCTTACACCGCCAATACACAGTAAACAAGCGAATCCTTCAGTATAATTTTATTACTAATAATAAACTTTACCTTGAAAAACACTATTAATTCTATCGACACACCATATAATTTCATTTAATTTTCAAATGCTATATCGCATTAGAAAATAACACCAGATTTGCTGGAAGTCATTCGGAAGCTAGTAAATTTTTGTTTTACGGCGCCTGTGAGAAGTGTCGAACTAGTAACTGGCGAGATGTTGTTTGTGTAATTTTACCGCCTGTTGAAAATCTGTTATTAGCTATTTACTATTTGAGAAAATACGTTCCCACACATATTACTACGGTTTATTATAATCATGCAAAAGATGTAAAAAGTTGTTTTGTCAGCTGCATTCTTAATTTTTTTCTTATGTTACCTGAAAGAAACATAATGTATAATATATGTCATAAATACCTTATAAAATATTTTTACATTTCATTGCTCCGATAATAAGCACAATTTTAATATTATATATCAACAAATAATTCGATACTTGTTCAAATAGGTGAGGCCGTTCAAACTTAACGAGTATCAAAGACGATTTCAACCACGAGTCGCGAAAATTGTAATACATCGATTTATCACTTGCTTTACCTATTACTTGCTATTAACTACGATGGCTTTTATTGCATTTTTTATTTTCATCATTTTTTCCAGTAATGTGCCTATCTATAAAAATAAAGTGATTACCTCCAAATAAATAATGGTAAAATATGTTGCCAAATTAAAGTCAAAAGAGCCGGCGTAAGATCACTAAAAAATTTTAGTGATAATCACAGCTGAAAAAGAAATTACCTTTATTCTTGCCTAAGTTGCATATACAAATTTTGATTAATTGAATGATGGTTAATGATTACAATTTGACACAAATACAAGTAAAGCCACATGCTCACTAATGTTATCAAAACGAGTTCTGAATACTATATAAAAAAAAGACAAAAATGAAAAATAACTAACAACCACACCAAAAAAAGAAGAACCGAAGGTCTTTTTTACTGGTAATTCATTTTATCTTAATCCGAGGAATGACAACGTACTTGATACATAATCGTAGAAAAGCCTAGGGACAACAGCAGTCACTTACCACCGGGTGAATTAGTTCATTCAAAAAAATAGTATTATCTTAAACCGTGTACAGTCTGTACGAATAGAGAATGGGATTAGAAATGGTGGCATATCGAGACCGTACTGTCAACATGCACAGTACCAATAGCGAAAACCCGCTAATAACGGTATATCGTTATAACGTTTATTATTCTGTAAATTTTAAATTTTCTAAGGGAAAAATGTTCGAAAATAATTGTATACGCTAGTAGGTTCATTCATTTTAAAAGAACATTTATAATTATCGATCCGTTTTGGCTTCGCCTGAGTAGGATTTATTAATGTGGCGTTATTTAGACTTAAGATATTAATTTTATCTTATCGATATATCTATTTTGATAAGTGTCAAAATTTTTCGAATAAAATTTAGTCTAGATCACTCCACGTATTACTATATCCACGTATTTCTATTTGTTCGTGAAGTTTTATCACAATCGGTTCAGCCAATCCGAAGATTAGCTCTGACAGACATTACCCATGTCTCAATAGCATGTAAATATTTTATACAAAAATATTAACAATAAAAAAATCGACAATAATTAGGAGGAAAACTCTCAGAACGTGTCGTAGCTCACAAATTAGTGAAACAGGACTGATTTTTTTGGCAGTATATGATATTTTAATTTTCATTGATTCCAATGACAAGTACGACTGAAGTTATAGAAAGTACAAAAAACGCATATCACAATTTATTTTTTTGTAGTTTTTACCGGCGGGCGTAAGTATACTCGTAGATAGCGATAATGTGCGAGCGAAAGGGGGATAAACACAACGCCATTTTCAATCCCGTTATGTAACCGCACGGGTAGTAATGATGGTGTATGAATATACACTACCGCATATAGTCCCGAGGGTGTTTCAAGGGCCGACAGAGGGAAAATGAAACAAGAGATGGTAAGCAGCATCTTCCTGATAACAACTTAAATTAATAAAATACTGCGGTTGCCAAAACGCTTGCCAAGCTTGGCAACTATGGCAAAATCCCCCCATTAAGGCGGCTTGCGGCTTGGCGGGCTTATGTTCAGCAATGGACTTTTATAGGCTGCAATGGATGGATGGACTATCTATAATAAAAAAAAAATTCCAAGCATGATGATGACTAGGTGAATCGCTATGATGGCGACAATGTGAACCTGTCCCGAGCGATGTTTATCCAATAATTGTTAATCTGATCTTGTATCGCACAAAGCCCTTTTCTCAAAGATTCACTGAAAGTTATTGTAGATAGCGGAGGGACACGCCAGTGTCTACGAAAATCTCGTGAAGCTACGAAGCGTCCTTATTAGGGATGCATCCGATACCGATACCGATGCCGATATATCGGCGATACTGGAAGTTTGCCGATATATAGGCATCGGCGATATTTTTATGGCCGATTCATCGATTCTTTTCAAATTTGACGCTTTAATAATTTAAAATTTAAAATTTTGTACAACCGACTTCAATATTAATTATTAAGAATAGCTCAAACACGATTGGTCAGACCTTGATCAAATTTATATGGAACCACATGTGAAGCACCAGCTTTCAAATAAAAAAAGAATCATCGAAATCGAATTCACCCAGTAAGAAGTTTGAGATAACACACAAAAAAAGAAAAAGAAACTGTCGAATTGAGTACCGTCTCCTTTTTGAAGTCTGTATAAAATGTAATGTAAACGCGGGTGTTGTCTATTTCATTTGCAAACGAGGCACGAACTAACTATGCTCGAGGAAACCCCGCGCTTTATGCAGTATCTTGTTTAGCCATAATGCTTGATCCTCGTTACAAAGCACGAATATATCAATCACAATCTACTATTATTGTGGTAAAAAGCGTCTTGTTCAGTTACTTGATCTTAATGTAGCACTGCATTCCGAAACTTTTTCAGACACGGTCACACATCTAGATGTGTACAGTACTAGTACTGTAACTATAAGTTCTGAGGTGCTTGCGAGTGGCAGGCTTTGGAGCGTTTGTGAAAATATTATTAGAAAGTCCGAGGAAGATGAGCCCATACTACACTGAGCTGTGATTATCTCAAAGAAGTCGAGAGATACTTAAGGTCCAAATTTATCAAGAGCCGCAGATCCGTTCGTTTTCTGGCGCAATCTTGAAAAAAAGTCTTTATACCCAAACTTGAAAAAATTTGCGCAGAAGTACTTTTACATATAGTTTACAAATGAGTTCTGTTGCATCTGAGAGACTATTTTCCAGCGCAGGTCTTATTCAAACAGATTTGCGAAACCGTCTTTCTCTGCAAAACTTAAGAAAACTTTGTTTTTTTAAACAAAAATCTCGTCAATGTTAATTTTAATTACTAAAACTATTAACTAATCTCAACCTGCCTATAGTTTTAAACGGTTTTATTTAGTTTGTCCCGTTATTTTTTTTATATTAATTAAAAAAATAACCTAACTTGTATTTTATTTATTTTACCTTCATTTTTGAATTCAATAAATGTATCGGTATCGGTATCGCCGATATGTTTTAAAAAGCATCGGTATCGTTATCGTATCGGCGAAACGGTATCGTGGCAATCATTGTTCTTACAGTGTTCCTACCGTGGAGCTTTAAAATCACGTTAGAAATTTTCAGTTTTTAATATTCTTTTTATAAAAAAAGTACATTATAAAAAGATTTTAAGCTTAAAGTTATTGTGTTGCAGAATTAACATTCCTTCAACACGGCTTTTAGAAAATAATGTTTCAAGGCAAACGCATATTCAAATTTGTGAAGCACCGAGCGATAAAAATGCGCTATGATAAAAAGTTTGTTTCTTGACAAATTATCTCCTATCCCAAGTAGTAAATTGTGAGATGTGACCCAAACGGATTATTATAAAATTATTCATCATCATCATTATGATTACAGCCGATAACAGTGCACTGCTGAATATGGACCGACCTCCCCCATATAGTGCCTCATGGGGTGATATTTGCTATAGTTGCCACGCTTAGCATCGGCAATCGCAGTTTTTTTTACTATATTGAGTTGTTATCATGAAGATGTTGCTGCGCACCTCCTGTTTCGGATTCCGTCTGTCGCCTCTTACGACGCTCACGGAATATATAA